CTGGACCGAGCCCCCCAGGCGGTCTGAGTCTTAGGGGGTCCCTTTCCCCCAGGTGGGGCAGGCCCCCCCAGTGGGGCTGGACCGAGCCCCCCAGGCGGTCTGAGTCTTAGGGGGTCCCTTTCCCCCAGGTGGGGCTGGCCCAAGCTCCGACCCAAGCGAGGCCTTGTGGGGTCAGCGTGGCTTTGAGTCCGGGGTCCAGCAATTCTAAGCCCAGGTTTATAGTGCAGGGTGGTCACTCAAGTGAGGGCTTGGAAACAGAGGCCACCCGCTGGGTTCCAGGTTTGTAATGCAGTGCAGATGCACCCTTGTAGGTGCTCTGGGGGACATGGGGTGGGACAGGCAGGGTGGCTGAATCCCTGATGCTAGTCATCCACTTGGTCTTGTGTTCTTCTACGAATGGTTCCAAGGCTTCCATCTCCAAGAAAGGGATTGAAGGGCCAGCGACCCGGAAAAAGAAAGTGGCTCCTAAGCTGGTACTCACTGAAGAACAGAAACAGCAGTTGCGAGAGGTCTTTGATTTGCTTGACACTGATGGCACCGGCACCGTGGATGTGAAAGACTTGAAGGCAAGCAAGAAGTGGCAGATACGCTGTGTGCTTGTCCCCAAAAGGCCTAGAGCAGCGGACAGTAGAACAGAGAGAGCGCCATGGGTGATACCAAGTTTGAGGCACATTGGAAGATCAGGATGGCAGAAGCCTGCATTGCTGTAGTCCATTTTGTATCTGTTTCTATGTTCCAGATAAACAGAGTCGGCCTTTGGGGCTGTTGCTCTGGCATGTTTCTCCAATGTTAAATGCTGTCTCTCTCTCATACAATATTAAAAGGACACTGTCCACTTAAAAGTCACGCTTAAGTCTGAAAGCGTGTGACCTACTTTGATTGCATAAGTCATCCAAGGTGAGTGCAACTGAACAGTTTAGAGAAAGGAAAACATTTTCTTCTGTTCCCCCTCGCCACAGTTTGTTCACATAGCGGTTCTGGCAGTCATTCTCAGTTTTGCCATTTCCTCTGGCTAATAAGTCAATTTCTCCTGTGTGTATCTGGGGCTGACACACAGACACAAAGGAGAGAAAAGCATTATAAACTCCGTGTGACTGGCAGAGGGATTCAGAGGTTGGGCTAGTACAGTCTAACTCATTGGTGCTGTAAACTGGATGCTTTAATGAGGAATGCTAAAAAATAAATTGCTAAGGTCAAACCTTCAGGGTCATCTTTGGAATAAGTTCTACATGTGTAGCACAGGCAGCCTGGGGCACCTGCTCTTGATCATGCCCCTTGCCGTGCTCTTATTTATTATTTGATGTGCCTTAGCACTGGAAGGCTCCAGCCCCATTTTTATCATAATGTGCCCCACAGTTTGAATTGTCTCCCCCGCTTTGCCTCTGTTTGCATGGCCAGCCTGTGTTCCATGTTTGTAGGTGTCCATAAGGGCGCTTGGGTCTGAACCTAAGAAAGAAGAGATGAAGAAAATTATATCAGAAGTTGACAAGGAAGGCTCAGGGAAGATCAACTTTGATTCCTTTTTGTATGCGATGACTCAGAAAATGGTATGTCAGTTGGGCAAGCCACAAAAGTTCTGGGCATGCTTAACACAAAGGGCTTAGATGGGCGTTGAGAGCACTTTGGACCCAAGAGAGTCCAGCATTTCCCATTCAGAACGAACAATTTAACAGCCAGAGATAAATCCTTATGCAAGAGCCACTGAAACATTGGAGCACTACCTATTGTGCTATCCTGACAGCTGCCTGTTCGCTCAGTAGATCTAATTCACCTCATCCTTCATTTGGACCAGTACCAGGACATCCCACTCCTGGTCCCCCTTCCTCTTCTGGCAGCTTTGTTCATGGCATTTCCTTAAGTAATAAAAGAGAAGGACAAATGTAAAATAGTGGCAATAAATGAATGCTACAGTGGCCAGGCAGATTCCAAGTTATCCTCTTAGTATAGATTCTTAGAGGGGGGTTGTTAGAAGATTGGTGGCTTCCCTTCACGTTGATGTAACATTAGCCTGTGCTTCTTTGTCAAGTCTGAGCCAGAATCCAGAGAGGACATTCTGAAAGCCTTCAAGCTGTTTGATGACAACGGATCTGGCAAAATCTCTTTTGAAAATCTCAAACGCGTGGCCGGGGAGATTGGGGAAAACCTCACAGATGAGGAGCTGCAGGTTTGTAATGTGCATCTCTTTGCCTTTGCGCAATGTTGCCATGCGTCCTTGTTTCATGGAAGATTAATTTAGCTATTAAGGGAATTGCACAGTGTTCTAAATTCATCTTACCTTTCTACGACATCTCCTCATTGCTACTCTAATTCGCAAAGCATGGGAGGGGGGTTGTGCCTTTTATCTGAAGCATTAAATATTAGCCAGAGATGGAGGGAGGATATTGGGTTTGACACACAGAGGATGTGCTATGACAAATTTGTTGTTACTTAGTGTGGATTCTCCTAATAAATGACAAGGCTGGAACATCCCTTTCTTATCTTTTTATTTCCTTGAGTTTTTCCTGAAACTTTCCCATTTCCGTATACCTAATAAAGGTGTTCACTGTCTTTAGTTCCTATGCAGTGAATGGGGAATGCAAAGAGATGTATCATTGATTCATGGCCAATTATGGCTACATCTCATCTCATGAGAGCATTGTTCCATTTCTAGTATGTGGCAACTCTCATTTGGCCTTGCAGTTCTCCTTTTTGCACCACCTAGACAGAGATAGTCTGTCTCCACTGCATGTGTTTATATAAAATCATCACCAGTCAGTAATGCTTTGTAAAGACAGAGCAGTTGGAATTTTAGACCGGCATACCGGGACATTAGCAGAACCAGTAGTATATTTTCTGACTGTAGAAGGTCTTGCTGATAAAACCATTACAAGAATCAGTGTTTAGTCTGCAAAATAGACAAGGAAAAAAATCTAACAGGTAATTCTTCCCCCCACTTCTTAGTCTGACATTTGCAGTCTGTGGTGATGTGGTGTTTTTTTCATCACTCTGGGTGAGGAGAGTTCAACATGTAAAAGGATTCAACAGTCCATGCATTATTTCTCCAGCCACTTCTTGCAGTCCTACTTTTTGCTGTGCCCTAGTGGTGTTGCAGTGCTGTGGCTTTGCACTGTTGTAATACAGCCGAAGCGTCTGTCTGCAGGCTGTATTACGCAAAGCATAGCATGGTACAGTGGAAGTGCTTTGAACACTTTGGATATGAAAGCTGCTTGAAGAAAATCTCTTTGCTTTCCATTCCTCTCCCTTCTCTAATCGGTTTTAATGGGCTTCATGTGGGTGCAGTTTGCCCCTTGGAAGAGATACAGCACAAGACTTATGCATTATTTTGTCCTGTTTTGTGGAGAGCTTTTAATGGTGCATAGACCTTGTGCTGAAACTCTGTAAAGGGGTGAATTCCATCTTCTCACCTAACCTGGAATCTGTATTCTTACTGTTCTGCAGGAAATGATTGATGAAGCTGATGTGGATGGAGATGGGGAAGTGAACGAACAGGAGTTCCTGCGAGTCATAAGGATGAACAGCATGTAGCTAGATATTTCTCGTTTCTTTTTACTCACATTGTGAAATACAGTTGGTAGGCACATCTGTTTTTTCTCCAGCTTCTCTCCATTCTCCTGGGTTAAAAAACATTAGGGGATCACCCTCAGAGTATTTCAGAGTCATGGTGGCAGTGGGAATGAATTGTTGAGTTTAGCTGTTTATAGACACATTTCGGATTCCGCTACAGAATTTTTAAATGGTCTCTGGTTGCATTCTGGGCGTAGGCAAAATGTTGACCTTTTTTTGGGACTTTTTCTGTGTTCTAGCATAACTGCATTCCCTTTTCAATTGCTTCCTAAAAGGCAGGGTAACGGACTTTCAGGAATAACAGGAAATATTTTTCAAAATATACCTTTTCAGACTTTTTAATCCCAGCTACGCTGTCTCCCTCATTAAAATATTCAAGACTCCTTGGTAAAGGCTCCCTCTGGTCGGCTTTTTGACCAACTCTTCTCAAATGAGGTCAACTCCCTTCCCCCTCCCCTTCCCAGCGGAAACCCGCATAGTACGATCCCTGCTGCTGGGCTAAGTCAGCCCCAGCTTTGGGGCCTTCTGCTGTGACGTTCCCCCCCAACACAAGTAAAATAGGGACCAGCGTCTGCTCTGTTACACCAGTGTCAATCCTGGATCACTGCTGAAGTTACCCTGGCCCCAAACTGGTCTACCACTGTGGGAAAAATCAGAGCCATTGACGTCGGTGGAGCTGTACCTCTTCAGAGCTAGAAGAGTTTCGCAGAACGTACTCCAGATTTTCACAAGGGTAACAAACTAGAATGTGCCTAGGCTAGAGGGGAAAAGAAGGGGGAGCAACAACCCCCCCTCCAAACCCAGGAATAACTGAGGCTAAAACCTTCTCCCAGCCAGACTGTTCCAGTGTGTTAGATCCTGGATTGTCTTTGTCAGAAGGCGTTTCTTCCTTCTAAGGGGATCAAAAGATCTGGAGTGTCAGGTCTTCTGCATGACCCTGGGTAGACGCTCCCTATGGTACGCTAGCAAAGCTTCTACGCGTTATGGAGGAAGCGTCGTACCCGTTTCCTCCATCAGAGGGCTCCTCGGGCTAAGGGATGCAGAAAGCACCCACAGCCCTGAACAGTTTTGTGTAAGAGGGGGAGTGACCATCCAGCAGGAGAAGATACAGTTTGAGGAGGAGGGAGACAGGCACCCTTTAAAGAAAGAGGAATCAAGAATGTGAACCTTGAGACCTTTGGGAATCCGGCGCGGTAGCTCCGCAGCTGGTGAGAGACAGCTTTGTTCCAAGAGCCCCGTCAGTGGCTTCTGCTTTTTTTTTTTGCTTTAAAAAGGAGTTTAAAAAGCAAGAGAAGTGCAGAAGCCAGTAAATGTCTAGGTCAGAAAGGGGACTAGACCTGCAGTGCAGCAGAGGGGGACCTACGAGGGAGATTGGTTAAGGGGATGTAGCACGTGTACCCTCGAGTCCAGCCAGTGTTCTGGGCGCTGACGTGGTGAGCTCTGAGTAGAAGAAGAAAGATAAGAGACTGCCTAGTGGCTTTGTAGTCGCGTTTCCCAGGTGCCGAGGTTCACCGGTGCGGGGTGCAATGCTAGACAGTGTCTCTTACCTAGAGTCTTGGATTTCACCCACCACCGTTGAGTCTGATCCCTGGGGAAAAGTGATGATCTGTGCAGGAATAGGACACACTGCGCCACTGATCAGCCCAGTGCTTGGTGCAGTGGAGGAGAGGAGATGGTAAAGAGCCACCAAGGGGAAAAGCATAGAGAGCAGGGAGACCTGGGCCCCAGAGCCAGGGGGCCTCTCACCTGGGCCCTCTCCCTGCGGAGATGCACCAGCCTGGCAGAAGATGCGTGGATGTCACTGCGCCATACACCCCGCGGCCACCCAGACAATGGCACGTTCAGCCTGGATTCAGGGGGATTCTCTTAGGAGGCTGGAGTTGCTGTGTGATGCCATTCACGGCCCTGGGCCCTTTTATAGCAGGAGGTCCTGCCCCAAGAGCAGGCAGGTCCTATGAGCTGGACGGAGCCTTTTACTGATAGGCAGTTTTCTGTGTCTGCCAGCTGGCTTTGATGGGTACGGACACATGATGCAGTCAGCTGCTCCGTTAGCTCTCAAGGGGGATTCCCAGCCAGCGGGAGCACTTTGCTTGACCAGCTGTGCTCATCTTTCCTTTTCTCAGTCGATTTTCCGCTGCAGTGCAGGCTAACGCACAGGGACGTGGATATGGAAAATGGCATATGCCGGGCCGGGCACCCCTACTTTGAATCCACGCTGCGTGGTGGTGTGAAACCAGGGATGTCCTTTTAAAAAAAAAAAAAAATCTTTGCTGCGCGTACAGCAGTGTTCCCTTCCCATTGGTAAGTGTCCTTTGACTCTGCCGCTGCCTCCAAACACCAGGCCCCCCGCGGGCCGGCAATGTGTTCCCCCAGGCTCGGGCCAGGAATGTAGGAACAAGGGGTTTGGTTCTCTGCACCTCTGTTAATGTAACCTCCTTGGCTGCAGTAACTCCGGAGTCACAGAGGTGAGGATCCAGGCCAAGGGCCTGGGAAATCCACCAACTGGAGTAATCAGCATCTTGTTAAACCCACCCTGTGGCTCAGCAGGCGGCGGTCCCTGTGTTTCCATTCCTTACAGGCAGATACGTCTCACGCAGCCCCTGACTAATGTTATCCAGTCTCCTGGCGTAGGGATGAAATCCCTCTTGTTTGGGGCTCTGCCCTGTTACTGCGCTACATCTTTTCTTTAACAAAAGTACAGTTGGAGGGGGGGGGGGCTAATTGTTTATTACATGTACAGGGAGCCCATCACCATAGCATTGGTGCCTGCTGTTATTACTGGCCTACTTTGAAAAACAATGACACCAGGCATGGTGTATTCACGGCTATTCCATTCATAAATCAGAATATGCTCAAACATTAGCCAGGGAGAAAAGTCCAATTAAGCTCCATTTATCCAATGCATATTTGGTCCCTCGCTACTTTTACTAGTCCCCACACAGGTGACCTGCAAGATGCGTGTGGAAAAACTCAGCTGATATCTGTGGATGCAAATAGTATGCAAATTCACTGCTTTCTGGTTTAGATACAAAACTGCCAAGTCATGCTATACCTTCCAACAGCGAGATGGAGTCACGTTACTGAGTAGCTGTAGCTTGGCAAAGGCTGCAGATCTGAACAAACCCAGTGGACACGCAAACAGTCCTTTTGCGTATGTTACAAACAGTCCGACGTGTCTCCTGTTGTACAGTACCTCCCCATGATAAACGGTGCTTACCCCACTGCACACCAGTTATCAGATTTTAGAGCCTGAACTGACCACACATGGGTTTCTCTACAGATTGAGTGACTCTGGAATAGCTGTTCAAGTATTCCTGGTTAAGTATGTGTAGGTAATTTTACTCTGGAATAAAAGTGCCTTACTCCAGATTATCTTAATCCATTTTGGATAGGAGTGTCCACATATGGCCTTATTCGGGAGTGGCTATGGCACTCTAAATTCACAGTCTTCCTTAATTTGAATTAACTTTTTCAGATGTAAACTAGCCCAAAGGGAGCCCACTGACTGGAAAGGGCATTATGCCATCAGGATGGGTGAATATATGCCTCAGGTGTTTAATGAAAACCAATTAGGGAGCAGAAATGGGGAATGAAACTGCTCTGGAGGGGTGAAGCACAGAGGCCTCGAACACTGGCATTTGATCCTAGAATCCTAGAACTGGAAGGGACCACAAGATGCCATTGAGTCCAGTCCCCTGCCCTCATGGCAGGACCGAGCACCGTCTAGACCATCCCTGGCAGGTGTCTGTCCAACCTGCTCTGAAATATCTCCAGCGATGGAGATTCCACAACCCCCCTAGGCAACTTATTCCAGGGTTTCACCACCCTGACAGGCAGGAAGTTTTCCCTGACCAAACTCAGCCCTGAGAGGTGCTGAGTGCCCGCAATCTGACTGAAGCCAATGGAGCCGAGTCCCTCACAGGACTGGGCCCTGTGTTGTTAGTTCTGTAGATACAAATCGAGGGGAGGGAGAGTAGAAAATTTCCCACAAAGCTGTATGAAGGCCCCAGCTTACCATTGTTTTCTGACCAAATTGCACTCGACGTGTGACTAACCTCGCCACTCGACGCCCTCCCTAGATCTGACCCCACAGATGCGTTCTGCCTGGGGAGCACTTGGGTTGCTGACTTTGATTGTGGTCTGCCTGTTACTTGTGCTGCCATGGCCTTCAGACACGTCCGCCCCGCAGACACGTCTGTTACTCCTCAGACAAAGGGCCAGTGCGTTTGTACGACAGGCCTGGGGTCAGATAATGGGCATGGCCCTCACCTGGCAGCTGCTTTCCCGTCAAGACAACGGGGCGTTTTAATGCAGATCCCTGCTGCTCTTGCCATGAAAACGCCTTTGCCGAGCCGGTCACACCCGGTCTCTCTCTCCCGCTGGAAGGCAGGTCGCTGTCCTGCGCACCGGGCCGTTCCAGAGCCGCTGGCTGCAGAACTTCACCTCTCTCGTGTTCTGCAGTGTCACTTGCTTTGAGGTAGGGATGTGAATGGATAACTGGCTACCTGGTAAGCATCACCCTTAATGGGTGAGACTTACTGGGTAACGGTTAACCGTCACCTGGCAGCAGCCCCCCACCCGCAGCCTGCCACAGGCAGGGGGTTGCTCCAACACGCCCAGCGTGCGCGGGCTGAGCGCCGACAGCCTTGTGTGGGGCAGAAGCAGCAGTTGGAGGGGAGGAGGGTCGGCTGCTTTCAGCCCTGCGCGAGGCTGCGGATTCCCAGCCCATGCAGTCTGGGAGCCAGTAGTACTCCCTCAGCTGCTGCTTCCGGCCCTGTTTAATCAGTTAACTAATGAAAAGGGATTTTAGATCCCTGCTCCGAGGATTCATCGTCCATCGCTCTCTGCCAGGTTCTCTTTGGGACTCGCTTCCTTTGTGCTGAGACTGAGTTCTTCACTAAGCCCATGTCAGCACCGGCGTGCGGGTAAGATTAGCGTTCACCAGACGTGGCTCAGAATTACAAGGGCTAAACCCTCGCAGGCTGGGACCAGGGATCCAGCACTCGCGGTTGCAGGGGTAGCACCAAATTCGTTCTCTTTGGGGGAGAAGACGACACCTGGCTGGAATCGTGTTCTCTTTGTCGGGCAGCCTGCAGCGGGCGGCCTGGTCGCATGCCCCGATTCCCTGGTTAACAACAGCCGGACACACCCCAGTCGGCGTGGGCATCTCGAAGGGCGCGAGGCATAACGAGCACCAAGTCCAAAGTTCAAGAGACATGCCTGAGCCAGTGTGGCTCAGCGGGAGGGGGTGCTTGTTAGCAGTCTTTACCCAAGCGGTCCCACTGACAGCGAGGGAGCATGAAAATAACCCCCCGCTGATAACTTCTGAAGTGTCCTTTTAGCAACAGTTAATTGCGAGTAAAATGAACAGGCCCTTGGGGAGGATGGGTAGAGCACCGGCTGAGTCACAGACTGAAGGTTATTACCGTTAACAGCCCACTTAGACTTCCTGCTCTGCCTCTCCCAAGGGGAATCTAGCTGGAGATGCTGCTGGTAAGGAAAAGGGCTGGAAACGGGCTGGGAAGAGCAAGTGCCCGCGAGTAGGTTTGATGATAGAGTGAGGAAAAGGGACAGAGCATGGCAGCCTGCCTTTGAGTCTCCAGCAGTCGTGGCCATGGCAGAGGGACAGGTGCCGCCACTTCATTATTCCATAAGGCTCCTGGGCGTTGCTTCAGGTAGGGACCAAGTTCATCTGGGGAGGGAGGCTGGTGGTGGAATCAACTTTCTTGTACAGCGAGGAAACCCTTTTGAAATGGGGGCTAACTAGATTCTGGAAAGGGGAAGTTAGTTAGTTAGTTCTTCCCAGCAACGGGTTCGCTGAACTTTTTTGCTTGGATAAAACCCTTCTCCTGTATCTCTAAACCAGTCTGCATAAAGCAGCCAATAACATGTTGATTTTGCCTTCCAAACACTGAGCTGAACTGGTCTGGGTGGGAGTCAAATCTAGACTGTGGGACACAATGTCGCTTCTAGGAGTCTTTGAGATGCACTTTCCTCTTTTCTCCATCTGTCTCTTTGCCGGATCTCTCCTTTCCCGGCTCGCTGTCTGGTCCCACCCTCTTTCTTGATCCCCCCTTTCTTTGTATTGTTCTGTTCCTTCTGCATCTCCTCCTGTCTCCCATTTTCCTGGAAAGCTTGTAGCGGTTTCTTTCCCTGTTGTTCCATGCAGGATCTCACTTCTGTTCCTACAGCTTTACCACCCAGCTCCTCTCATCCCCAGCATGGCTCTGAGCTTCTTCCTCTGTGTTCCATCATCTCCCTTGGCCTATGCAGGTAAGACCAGGAGCATTACCACCTAAAAGCTCCTTCTGCAGCTTACCCATATTTTTGTACTGGCTTCTGTTTTGCCAGCAGGTCACCTGTCCAGGCCACTGACGCTCTCACCTGGAACGACATGCCAGTGTGCCAGTCTTACCAAAGCACCAAAGGACTTGGGAAAGAAACATTAGTTCTGAATGGATCATATACTGAGCTGTCTGCACTGGAATTTGGAGCAGAATTGAAACTGTTTCCAAAGCGCTGTCTGAGTGGCAGATTAAGGGCAGTCAGTGAATTAAACAGTGTGCTAATCCGCAGTTTGCAAAGGCCATAATCCATCTGAGGGGGGGAGGGGAAGCTTCCAATTATTTTGACTGATTGAGCCTGTCGCTGCCCCATGAAAAATACCTTCTCCTCCTTGAAGTGCCTCAACACAAATATACGTCTTGTGCTGCCTATCCAAAGCCCACTGAAATCAACGAGACTTTGCAATCGCTTGCACATCCGATCGACTTTGGATCGGCAAGGCTCCGCCACTCAGTGATGGCTAGAAGGAGAGGCAGACAGGGCAATACTGTCATAGGCACTCTCCTGAGTGCCCACCTCAGTTCTCTCTCCCGGCTACTCCAATAACTACACTTCTGGGCCTCTTAACACCCTCCTTAAGGGTTAGTTTGTTATAGGAACCTTGTGCAAGACAGGACACAACACAAGTCCCAAACTGATGGTCTATTTCTTACGCAACGTGAGCAGATGTGAATGCTCAAGACTCATCCCTTGATGCCCCACATACCATTCTTCACTGCCTTCAACCATGCTTGGACTCTCGGTGAGTCGTCTTCTGTCCTGCTGCCACCTTAGCCTTGCCAACCAGAATGCAACCTCCCTCTTCGTACTGGAACCCTCTGACACCCTGCACCACACATTCACCACTTTGGTAAGGTTCTGATATATTTTGTACAGATTATGCCTTGAAAATTCATAATTTGCTGAATATCATTATTCTGTTGAAAAGTATGTACCATCGCTGCATGTACAACTCTGAGATTTGCTAGATGATTATTACTGAAATACATATAGTTCTGGTTAATGCCCGTTGAACACTTTCTTAGTGACACAGGCGCATGTGCGGTGCGAGGCGACCACACTGCAATAGCAGAACAGGTCAAAGCTGCGAGGCCAACACCGAAAGGATTTTATTATCTTGTAGTGCTAGCAACGGGCAGACAGGCTAAATTAGATAAGAATGGGAAGATCCCTGGGAAAGTGCATCAGACCAGCCCATAAATCTGGGAAAGTGCATCAGACCAGCCCGTAAATGAAACATCAATAACAACATCACAGAAAAGAACTTTTTGTTCAGCAGAGTTGGTAGATGCCGCGGCAGCTGAAGTGGCTAACAGCATGCAGCCAGCCTTTGCGTGGCTGGGTCATTCCTAAGCAGGGATCTGTTTGTTTCATTGGCCTGAGGAAGAACCAAGAACGACGCCTTATGGCGCGTCCAACGTCCATGGGCAAGCTTGTGGAAATGATCTTGGCGCGCACACAGAGGGTTCATTTCACACACACCGAGGAGAGAAGGGATTGCTTTGCCTGTGGACTCTGGCCTCAGGGCTGCTCAGATCCCAACTGAGGGGATGAGAGGAGACTTGAGCATAGAGACCAATATCGTCTCTGCCCCCACAAGGCTAACAGAAAGGGACAGGAGAGGAGCAAACCGCCACGTGCCTTTCGGCAGAACCAGAAGGGCACGTGCCCAGCACTGGCTGCAGCTATGAACCGCCTGTGGGAACTGCAGCCGGGAGGTGAATAGCCCATTTACTTTGTGCTTTGCATAGACAACCTAAACCAAAACCTCAAACGCAAACAGCCATAGACATTAGTGGGCTGGAACGCCAACCCCTCTAGAGCTGGATTCCCTGGCAGTTAGGGCACTGGGAACCCAGATCCAAACTGTTACCCTTGGATCCATCTCTAGTTCTATACAAACCCAGGTCTGCTGCCCATGGAAGAGAAATTCACTGGAATAGTCCAAGTGGCCAAGAATCACATTACCCCTTGGACCCTCCTCGAAATCCGTAAGCCCAGAGTGCTAAATATACCAGGCTTCCTTCCCCCAATGCCGCGCCACTCGGTGTGACGAAACTTCCTGGAAGCTCAATGTTTTTCTCTCAGGGAAGGTCAATTTTCAGGCTGACAACTGTGAAGGTTCCTCTTTAATTCCATACTAACCCACATGGGGTTAACCTAGGCTGAAAAGCCTTGTGCCAAACGTCACTCCGGAGTGTATTTTCCCATGGCCGTTTCAGCCGATGGTCCCAGCGGGAGCTGTTCTCGCGAGGTGCTCAGCCAGCGGGGATTGCTTTCACATGCCGGCCTGAGTGATGGAGATGAAATAGCTCAGCAAGTCCTCCACGGTGAAGTCCATTGTGATCCCAGACCCTGGGTAGCAGCGCTGGATCAGGTGCTCAAATTCTTGGTACTGCCGTATGAACTCCTGTTCCATGGCTCGCCATCTGCCCGGGGGGGCCCCACCCCACCGCCCTCATTGGTTTGCTGCAGTGCTCCATAACCATCCACGCCCACAGAGGCACAATGTTCTTCAGCCCCTGCCAGATGAGCGCGGAGAGTAAGGGGCACGCGCAGGGCTGGCCTTGGAGCTTCTAGGCCCAGATCCTCCAGGGCAGGTAGGAACCCAACTCCCATTGAAATCCGTGGGAGCAGAGATGGAAGAATTCCCACTAATTTTCAGACCTCGTGTGTAACTAACGATACTAAGAGAAGCAGGGAGAAGAGACGGGTCACAGGGGAAGGAGGCGGAGTGAGGGTGGGATGAGGAGATGGAACAATGGGCATGAAGAGGGAGACAGGACAGAGGGAGCGGTGGCCAGACAGGTGCACCAGGAGGTCCCCTTCCTTCTGCCATTGCTGCCCAGCAAACTCGGCCCCCAAGCCCCTGACGCCGACGCCGCTTCGCCCCCAAGCCACACTCACTGGCAAGAGGTTTTCCTCAGGGGAGAGATGCTTGTGAATCTTCCTGTAGAGCGTTTCGAGAGCTCTCTTCACCTCCCTGCCCGGGTACTTCTCGATCACCTTCCGCAGCTCCTGCTTGCTGTACGCCAGCTGGAAACTCACCTCCTCCTCTCTCACCCCCTGGGCCACGCGGGCTTTCACCCCCTCGAAGAAATGCTGGGGAGGCAAAGGAGACTCATCGGGCACTGGCTGTGCCACTGTGTGGCTCTACCGACTTTTCTCAGCCCTCTCGCAGACCATGCCGGAGCAGATCGGACGGTTCCTTCACAGCCAGCGACTCTGCCTCGGTGGCTAAGTTCTGCCGGGGAGGATGCTTTTAGCTCTCATCCTGCCATGCTCTGCCCTGCAAGGAGGTTCCTGTGGACTATTTACTACTTCCCATTCCTACCAGTGATTCCTACCCTTTGTTTCCTGTCTCTGGACTGGCGTGCTTGACCGTGCTTTCGGGATCGTCGACTGATTCTTGGTTTACTTGACTGACAAACCTTTTGTTACCTTAATCCCCCTGCCTCTGTTTATAAACAAACCCTTGCTCCTGGGGTTCGAATTCATCACAGTCAGCCTGTGTTGCAATTCAGAGTTCTGTCTGGGGCTAGCGGAGTAGACCCTTCCTACCAAATTCGAGATTGGGGGGGGCGGGACTGAAGCCCCCCAAATGACACCCTTGAGGTAAGCCCTTAGGTCTCTTAACTGCAACGGGGACTTCAGTCCCTAAATCAGCTAGTCACTCTTGGAAATTCTACCCCATGTCCCGTAAACTAAGCCGCTCGTAACGGAAAAGTTACCCGGAGAACAGCCGTGGGCAGCAAAGACCCGGCTCAGGGGTCCTCTCCCGGAGCTGAGCACTGCTAACAGACCCCACACATGCAGTCCCTTTGCCTCGCCACCAGCAATGAAATTCCACTCATCAGTGCAAGACAAAACAAATTAGCACAGGCAGCAAGTTGATTGGAGCTGTGGCTGGTGTCAGGTGCTAAGCAGATCTTCCAGGGACAGGAGGCATTTCACAGCAAAGACCAGATGCAAATCCAAATCAAGAGGCATTTCAATTAAGTCCAGCTGGGCTCAGCTTTTATTAGAAGTTATAGGCCATGGAGCAGGTGGGGGAGCATTAATCACAGCGGCCAGGGGTTAGTGGAGTGGCAAGGAACTATGGGAACGATATGTCTGTCCGCTCGAGTGGAGCCAAGCTTTTAGCTCAGTTAACACATCAATCACTTGGGAGCCCTGCAATTATGTTAGGAAGCTCTGTGCGAGCAGCCATCCAGAAGGCCCCAGCCTCAGCCAGCCATAGACAGGCAGCTGGAAGAGAAAGCAGCGATACAGTCCCTTTGGTTCAGAGCCAGTTCAGGTGAGCCGCACAAGCAGTTCTGCTAGCTCACATACAAGAGGGAAGATGTTACCCCCGATCCCAGCGAGAGAGGGTGGCGATGCAGAGCCATGGTGCGTGTTAGTCTCTGGGAGGTTCGCGTTTTACAGAAGTGGCCTCTGATTTCTCATTTACGGGTGCCCCACTTTTCATACCTCCAGGCATCTAAAGATGCGCGCACCAAATTTAGAGACCACTGTTGAAAATTTGACCCCAAGCTTATGACTGTCTGTAGTGGTGGACATTACACGCAGAATGGGAAGTGACTCTCTAGGAAGGAGTCCTGCAGAAAGGGATCTAGGGATCATAGAGGACCACAAGCTAAATATGAGTCAACAGTGAGACGCTGTTGCAAAAAATGCAAATGATTCTGGCTGCATTAACAGGAGTGTGGTGAGCAAGACACGAGGAGTCATTCTTCCGCTCTACCCTGCGCTGGTTAGGCCTCAATTAGATTATTGTGTCCAGTTCTGGGCACCACATTTCAGGGAAGATGTGGAGAAATTGGAGAAGGCTCAGAGAAGAGCAACAAGAATGATGAAAGGTCAAGAGAACATGAGCTGTGAGGGAAGACTGAAAGAACTGGACTTCTTTAGTTTAGAAAGAGAAGACGGAGAGGGGACATAATATAATAGTGGTTTTGAAGTATTTAAAAGGGTGTCACAGGGAGAGGGGGGTGGGAATTGTTCTCCTTGACCTCTGAGGATAGGACAAGAAGCAAGGGGCTTAAATTGCAGCAAGGGGGTTTAGGTTGGACATTAGGAAAAACTTCCTAACCATTAGGGTGGTGAAACTCTGGAATAAGTTGACTATGGAGGTTGTGGAATCTTCATCTCTGGAGATATTTAAGAGCAGGTTAGACATCTGTCAGGGATAATCTAGACCATGGGTTCCAAAAGTGGGGGGGTGTGAGGAAATTCAAGGGGGGGGGGTGAGGTGACCCAGCCTCCCTGTCCCCTGCAATCAAGTTTTGCTGCTCTGGTCAGTTTCTTTTTTCTTCTCAACAAGTTTTGCTGCTATTTTTGAGGAGGGGGGTGGGGCGGGAGGGTTTTAAAAAAGGGGGCATGATGCCGAAACATTTGGGAACCACTGATCTAGACAGTGTTTGGTCCTGCCCTGTGGGCAGGGACTGGACTCAATGATCTTTCGAGGTCCCTTCCAGTTCTAGGATTTCCCCTGCAGGTCTGAATGGCATAAGAAGTAAGTAGAAATAGGACACCACGCTGGGAGTCAGAAGAGCTGGGTTTATGTGAGCCCTGTCCCTGAGCTGCGGTTTGACCTTCAGTGAGTCATTTCCTCTCTTGTGTGTCAATTTCCCCTTTCCCCATCTAGTCTATTTCGACAGGAACTCCTTGGGGCAGGGAGGGCTGTGTCTTACGATACACCTGCCCTGCGCCAGTTCTGTGCCAAAGGGGGGAAGGTCGACTCAAGATCTGAAACCAGCTACATGAATTACATAGCTGGAGTCAACATGTCTTGATTTGAGTTTCCACGCGGTCATTACAGTGGGAGACTCCCGGCGGCTTCCCTTACTCCTTGTGAGGAGCAGGAGTACCGACGGGGCACCCTCTGATTTCGATTTAGCGGGGCTTTGCTAGAAAAATGGTGCTTCAGATTAGCCTGGAACTGCCTGGGTCATGGCTGCTAAAGACGGCGGGGTGCTCGGGCCGGATGGCCATAGGTGACCGCTGAGTGCTACGAAGAGAGACAGGAGGCTGTGGCTTGTGATGTACTCACGTTGAGTTTCTCCAGTGGCTGCCCCAGGTACTTGATGACGTATCTCTCCAGGTGCTCGCCGTACCTTTGCTTGGCTTCCCTCCGCTTGCTTTCCAAGCAGTGGATCTTCTTTTGGCACAGGAAGCAGTGGATGTGGTGGAAGTTTTCCATCATCACCATGTCCGTATTGACCTTCAGGTTTGCCGAGGCCAGACGGTTGACTGAAAAGAAAGGCACAAAGCACAGAGGCTTGGAGGGACCTGGTGGTGACCAAGCTGGGCCGGAAGGCAGGGAGAGACAAGGGGAGAAGACGGGGAGTTAAGCCCACCGTGTGCTAACACGAAAGGCTCTTCCAGGGGATCGAGGCAAGTCCTATCAGTCCAGTCCACAGACTGAGTCAGCCTTCTAAGCCTGGGCATCCGGCCTATAGCTCTTAGCCTGGCCCACCTGGATGGCTGGCTGGTTTCAACACCCGCAGGAGAAATGCAGCGAAGAGGAACAGCAGTTTCACATCATAGGAAATAATCAATCTCAGTAGCTTTAGAATCATGGCGGAGGGGGAGGGACTGGTCTGATTGGTGACATGGCTTATCCAGGTTAATATGCAAGGAAGGCTCCGCCCTCTGCCTCAGGGAATGCTGCTAATGCGCTGGCCAGCCTGCCAAGGGCCCTGTGGCCATGTGTGTGGGGAGGTCGCGTTCCCAGAGCCCGTCAGGCTGGGAAGCAAGAGACCAGCGTTGAGTCTCCCATTAGGATCTTTTGCAAGGCAGTGCAAAGTGGCAGTATGCCAGTGACTCTGCCCCTCCTGACACTCGGGGTCTCTACTTCCGCCAGCTCGGGCGTGTCTGGAGCCGTGCAATGCATTCTCCGGACCGCTCCACCTGGGTGGTGGCAGGGGGTGGGTGGCGGAAGGATTTCACAGTTCCAACTTGGATCAGGATCCGAATTTCCTGGTGGCCTCTGTGTCTCTAACTGACCCAGGATCCAGCTCCAAAAGCCCCGGGCATTTGAACGTCTGCTCCGGAGCTGCATGTTGTGATTCACGCCCCCCAGACTCACTGCTGCCGAAGACACTGTCCACCAGTTTGGCGTGCGCCTTGTCCAGTTCCCCCCTCCGCTGAGCCCACCGGAACGCTTCCTCCGCGAAGTTCACAAACTCCTCGTAGCGGCTGACGAGGGGCAGGATCCCGCCTTTCGCCCGGCTCGGCACCTTGGCCTCCTCCATCTCTCTGCACAGGACACCCTGGGTGCAACACAAATAAACCAGAGCGCTCTGACTGGCCCGCCCCGGCTTTGCAGGCAGAACGCCGAAGAGCCAGCCAGCAAGTAAGCCCCGTCTGTGCCAGCTGACCCCGGCACTGGTCGCTGACAGCAGTGAATCGGGAATGATCCACGGGTGGATTTCCGGGCTCTGATTCACACAGCTGCAGGTTCTCAGGCCAGAAGGGACCAATGGGATTGTCTGGTCTGACTTCCTGTGGGGCTCAGCCGGCAAACCTCACTCAGTTTTGCCTTCCTCCAGCCCCATGACTTGTGGCTGAAAGGCCGTGTCTTAGCCAGCCAGATTGGAAAGGGAGGGCTAACGCCATGTGCTCGGCGGCCCAGGGCGCACACGGGACCGGCTTGCACTGCCCACGGGTCTCTGTGCTGACTTGGAAGCCTCCGGGAGCCGAATCCAAAGTGCGCGTCTCTCGAGGTCAGCGTTGCTCTCGACTTCAGTGGATTTTGTATCAGCCCCTCACCAGCCTGCCCACACAATTGTGCTAATGGCTCTCCTTAGTCGTTGGGCCCTCACGCAGCCCTGTTCCCTGCCCCTGGGTCCTCCAGCAGCCCCTACTAGCGCCCCCCCCGGGACCCCATCTGCAATCTGCCCTGGTGCTCCATCCCACCTCCCCCGCCTTGTCAGCACTCTTCAGACCTGGCCTCAAGAGACACGGTCGCCCTGCCGGGGAGAGTGGAGGGCGCTCAGAGAGCACTTCAGTGCCCAGTGACTCCAGGAATGACAGCCTGGGAGCCCGCTTGCCTCAGAAGAAATACAACCGGGGCATCGGCAGGGCAGGCTCTGCCTCCAGGGCCCAGCACTCTGCCGCTGAGGGACACAGCTAGGGCGGAGAGGAGCATGGGGCTCTGTGACAATAGCATTGGGAATGTGGACCCGGCCCTCAGCCTGGGTGGGGGCAGGCCTGAGTACCGGCTGGGCTGGTTCTGGGACGGGGACCTGTCCACGAGCAGCTAGCGTGAGACCCTTCCCGCTCCAGGCAGCCGGCCGGCCCCGCCAGGCAGAGCTGGGCTGCACTAGGACGGAGCCAACGACCTGGACAGCAAAGTCCCTAGTGCGGAGTTTCTGCCACTGCTCTTAGGAGTGGGCTGCTTGAAACCCCTTGGCCCGGAGCCGGCGTGAAAGTGCAGCCTCCCCGGTGCGTGGGTGCAAGGGGGGGACCTCGCCAACGCCCAGGGTCAGGTGGTGCAGGAGCCGGGGGCCCGAGCCGCAGTGGCGTTGGCTTGGCTGGGCGGGCCGTGGCTTGCGCGGAGCCCGGCGGTTTACTCCAGCTTGGAACCGGGACCAGGCCCAGCAGCGCGGCCCGTTCTCAGGGAGGGCAAATGCCGGCTCGGGCTCCCGGGGGCTGGGCACTCACAATGCACTTGTTGAAGTTGCTCTTGGCCAGCAGGCGGGTGTTGCTGAGCACCAGGTGGAGGAAGGGGCAGGAGGCCGCGGCGGAGCCTTGCATCCCAAACATGTGGTCGTTCAGGGTGACCAGGGCCTGCAGGCGTCGACGAACCCTCTCAGCTCTGGCTCCAGGGAACTGAAGATCTCAGCCAGCAGCAGGCTGGGGTGCCCGTCTCGTCTGGAATGAGGGTCACACACGGGGGGGGCTGGGTCAGAGAGCTGCTCAGGCAGCGGCCCCCAGAGAGGGCTGGACCGCGGACAGAAGGACACATGCAGGGGAACTCCAGGTTGCCACAAAGGCCCAGCCCTGGGCTGCCTAACTCACCTGGATTTCCATAGGAGGGAGGAGCCTAAATAACTCGGAAAGTTGCAGGCTGTTGGCAAGTCATGCACACAGCTCTCCCCCCCGGTATTAGTGATGTGGTGACAGCGATAGCCCGACCCCGATCGGTGACACCGAGCGTCCGGAATCGCCACTGGAATTCCCGACTCCGTCCCAGCCCTAGCGGTCTCGCCCGTCCCAGACTGCAGCACTGGCGGAATTCTCGCCGTTCTGGGTTTGCCCCGGTTTCTTTGCTGCGTTGCCCCTCGCGAGCAGACTAGAGGCAGGGGTAAAAAACCCTTTCGCCCGGCCACTCTGCTGAGTCAGTGCTGGGTCCGGTGATGCTGGCAGGGTAAGCGTTCATGGGACACGTGTGGCAATTTGAGCCCAATTTCGCCCTAACCCTCTCTCACTCACGCCATGGGCAGGGCTCCTGAGTTTCACCGGCGTCACTGTGATCTGGATCCAAGCCAAGGGGGTTTTTTGGCCTGTCTGACCGAGAGCCACATCTTACCCAGCTCCCTTCCTCTATGTAGTCTGCCTCTCTGGCCATGGGGAAAATGCCTTCCTGACCTCACATACTGTGATCGGTTAGACTCTGAGCATGTGGGTGAGACCCACCAGCCAGACCTGGGGAAAGAATTCCCAGAGCCGTGTCCACATTGGGTGTGTCTAAACTACATGGCTCCGTTGACGGAGCCATGTAGATGAGGCTGATCAGCAGAGGGAAATGAAGCCGTGATTTAAATCATCACGGCTTCATTTAAATTTACATGGCTGCCGCGCTGAGCCGACAAACAGCTGATGAAGGTTACCGGGGAGGTCGATAAAGGGCTTTCAGGTCGGCGCGGGAGCATCCAGACTAGCGCTCAGCGCGGCAGCCATGTAAATTTAAATGAAGCCGCGATTATTTAAATCACGGCTTCTTTTCCCTTTGCCGAACAAACAAATCTACATGGCTCCGTCGACAGAGTCATGTAGTCTAGACGTACCCCGAGTGCTCCATCAGCTGCTATTGGGAACAATTGCTAATAGCAGCAGTGGATGGGCCATATGCCATTGGAGGCAATCTCATCAGACCATCCCCTCCATCAGCTTAGCATGGGCCAGGAGACCCTTGTCAGCTGCTGCTCACATGGCCTGTCGGAGTTTGTCCCCTGATAAAAGGCAGAGAGGGGAGGAATCACCAAAACCCTGGCCGGGTTCAGCCAGCTCCTTAGCCGGACACTCCCCGGGATTCCAGGCATGACAAATTACTTCTCATCCACGTACGGGGGCTTCGTCTTGGGCCAAGGAGACGTCTCAGGAAAGGCTGCGTCTGCTCCTCGCTTGCTTGCGGCGGGTGGCTGAAAGAGAATGGGGAGAAGACAGCTCATCTCGAGAGCCTTCCCTCCTCCCCCCGAGGGTAGATAAGCTTTGTGTGTCCACACAGCACAAGTAGTGATGCCTGGCGCCGCCCCGTGCACAAGCTTAGGGCTGCGGTCAGAGACGCAAAGGTAGATAAGAAATTGCTTTAGGAGACTTAAGCACTGAGTTAATTTCAGCTCTTTGCTCCCAAAGGGGTAACTCTCTTTCGGCAGGATCAGTGGTTGGCTTACCCCCAGCACCTCTTGGTCTGCGGCATCCTGGCTCAGCATGAAGAATTTCTCAATGAACCTCTGCTCCGCCACGCACAGGGGTGGCAGCTCCCTCAACACCTGCTCCAGCAGCTGCGTAGAAACAATCGGACACACGGTTCAATCCTGGCTCCCGCCTAGCAAGCCTCAGTCTTCCCTCCTGCCCCTGCAGCGTCAAGGTGTCTCCCACCAGGAAACGTCAGACGCATTTAGAAGCGCCAATTACCACGCTGCATTGGCGCTCCCAGATCGGCCAGACACAGTCTCTTAATCTGGAGCAAATTTTACCCGGTTGGATCTGTAAACGGGGCGAGTGCTCAGCAGCATGGAACACATAATACTGTGGGCGGCTGCAGGCAAAGGAGGAGATTCAGGGGGGAAAAACCCACCCAGGCAAAGGGCTGGAGGCGGAGAGAGCAGAGAATTCGCCGTGCACCCGTATAACAGATCCGGAAGGGCTGGCCCCCCCTTTCCATCTCCACTCTGGGATCGTCCTTCTCACAGAGCTGGATGAATAATGTTTGGGGGTTTTTGTTTTCCGGTTTATTGGCAATTCTCCAAAAACGATAAAACATTGTTTTAGGTTGAACTGAAAATTATTTTTTCCCCTGAATTTTTGGTAAATTGGGAAAGAATGGTGTTGACCAAAATGTTTCCATTTTTAAAAAGAATTTTTTAGTAAAAATGAAATGAAAGGCCATTTTAAAACGTCCTTTGGAACCAAAACTTTGTAACGTTTTGTTCTGAAACTGTCTAAATGAAACATTTTTAACAAAAATTAAGTGTTTTTCTTCTGATGACCAGTCGGGTGAAACCAGCTCGAAACTGACAAAGTGTTTTGGTGCCATCAAATCTGCACTTTTCATCTGAAAATGTTGGCCCTGCTCTGTGCTGTGGTGACTCTGTTCATGCCCTTGGCCCCGTCTAAAAGGCCACACCCCTGGCGTGCTCTGATAGCGAGGGGGAGGTGTCTCGATAACGCTTCTCTGGGATGCCCCCGGACGTGTCTGCCATGCAGAAGTTCAGCTCGGGTCTCAGACTCCACCCTTCCACGCAGCTCGGCTGGGAAACCCCCTCCTGGGATCTACTTGTGGGTGCCACAAACACTGAGCTAGGGTTGGAGAAGCAGCAAGTTGCCTCGTTCTCTGCGTTCACTCAAATCCTTCCTAAACAACAACCCCCCCACCCCGCCCCGTTTAAGCATGGACTGAAAAGCAGAGAGGGACGGGTGTTGGATTTCTGTGTGTTCCGTAGCCACCGTTCTAAACCACAAGTCCCCTCTTCTCCTATTAACGCGCAGTGCTTACTTTGACAACATTTCCTCTGTCCACTTCGTCCTCTTCCCTTGCACCACTGTCTGCCCGACAGAGCGCAGGGGGCTGTCTGCTCCCGCAGGCCACCTGCTTGTCTAAACCGTCCTGCAGACCTGGAACACACAGACCTGCCGGCTTTTGTATTTACCCGCGTCTCTGTACTTCTCTCCTCTCCGTGCTGTGGGCGCAGTCGCTATGGATGATCAGCGTTTTCAACCACAGAGACGATCACCTAACCCTTCCCAACCACTCACTCGGCCACCCAGGCACAAGTGATGGGAGGAGCTGGGCACCAGTTGAATTGAACCAGGTGTAGTCTGTGGGACAGCCATGCTAAAAACGTCAGGGGGACCCGGAGTGAGAATGCACAAATCTTACTGCCATGGGATGTAAACAAGGGAGTAAAAAGTTGAAGGGTTCTCCCTCCTTTTCCGCGACTTCTCTTTTCGTTTCCATTATTGTCGGCCACTCTTCACCTGTGGTCAGAAGCCTAAATTTCAGCCCCAGAGCTGCAGACCCTGGAAACCCTGGGATCTCGTGCCACGGAGAAGTCACCAACCTTGTGGTGGAGTTTCCCCAGGCTTCCAACTCCCATGGGCTGCGCTGCCAAGGAGCCAGACCTGGAGTTCATCAGAACTTCCTCAAAATCGACCTTTCTGCACAAGATCGGTTCTGCTGCACTGCAGCAAATACGTGTCGCCCGAATTCTTCTGACTGGCCCTAGCGATGGGGTTGGGCGACTTCTCTTTTCGTTTCCATTATCGTCGGCCACTCTTTGAGGCCAGGCCTGTCGGCGTGGGGGGAAAGACTGCGGTTTTCCCGGGGCTGGGTGATTTCAAAGAGCCTGACTCCTATAATCTACAGTGGAAACAGGAGTCCCAGGACCTTTACATCGCCTCCAGAGCTCTGGACAGCTTGCGCTGAGCCATGCTGAAGGGCTGCTTGGGGGAGGCGAGCCCCCTTCCCCTACTTCTGCCTGAGGACCTGCGCCCCCACTTTGCCCAAGGCCTGGCAAAGTCTCTCAGCCGCCCTGTTTGAGGCAGGATATTCCTGGTTTCCTGCGCCAAGGGCTGGTGAGTCAAGTAGAGATACAGATGCTGCGAGCGGCTTCTGAGCTCTGTAAGGAATGTTATTGGAGCAGAGCCGGGGGCCTTGGGAATATGGGCCTGGAGGCAGGAGAGCTTGGACAGCCCTGTGCTGCGCCAGAGCAATTATTCCTACCCTGGGTGCGCCCTTGCTCAGCTCAGCCGGCAGCCACCGGCACCCCCCTGCCCATGTTCACACCAAAGGTGGGACAGAATCCAGATTCCCCGGCCAGGGCCACAGCAGCGGTGAGGTCACCTTGCCTCCAGGTGAGTGACACACGGCGGGTGATTCGCTGCGGCCCCATGCCAGGGACAAAGCCATCAGAGACTCCGCTGTGACCACAGTCCGTTTCCCTGAGACTGTGTCCTGCCATTATTTTAATTCCTAGCCAGTCATTACATGTGCACAGCCATTGACAAACGACGGGTGACCCACGAGAAGGAAATCACCGGCGCCATTTCCCAAAGCCGGATCGCACAGCCCTGCCGTAACTCCTAATGGATGCAGCTCTTATTTTTAACGAGACTCGATCCCTAAAGGGCTTCTTAAACAATAAAGCGAACTCCCCTCCCCCCCACATCTCTCTGTTTTTAATAGCTGCCGAGCTGCGGGCAAAGACAAGCTTTGCTTTCTGTTTCCCGCCCCCCCCCGGCAGTAAACTCACTTGTGGGGAGCCCTCGGTTACCATGCTCAATGGAAATGGTGCTCTCTCTGCCTTCTGTACGGGTCCGGCTAATTCAGGGGCAGGGAACCTCTTTTGGGTCAGGGCCACGCACAAGTGAGAAGCAAAAAAAACCCCCAAACCCCTCCCCCAAAACAACCCTCACTGAGGTGGCCCCCAACTGAGAAGAAGAAAGATGCTCCCCACATTCCCCTCACACACCAGAGCCTAAGGGGGTCAGGCTAGTAGCGTTTGGATGCTCCAGCCCCACGGGGTCGTGGCAGGGGGCTGGGGCACCAAGGTGGGCTCCCCAGTGCTGGGGGGGAGCCCCGAGCGTTGGGGGCCGGATCCACCAGAATGTTCATCCCTCCTTAGCAGGACTCCTGCCTTGCGAGAGGAAACGGGCAGCGGCCCATCCGCGTACGTAAGCGGCGAGTCCTCTCTCCCTCTCGACGCCTCGGGATGGACAGTGTGACTCAGTGAGCCAAAGCAAAGCCCAGCTCTCCCGGGCGGGCGGGCGGGCGGCAGGATCGCAGCTGCGCAATCTTGGCGAGAGGAAGTTTCCGACAATGCCT